ACATCAGGCTTGTAATTACCGCAAAAGGACCCAGAAAAGAGCATATTTTGTCAGCTCTATTCCATTCTTCATGTGTGGGCGCCATCTTATACCCCTTCTTATCAAATGTCTCCAACTTAGCAAATGCCTTACGGTACTTTAAGGCCCTTTCAAGCATGTAGTAAGTCGAGTTCCATCTCGTCGACACATCCAGTAGTAGGCCCGCATTTTCATCTAAACCCGCAGCATCCACACATTTTTCAAATAAATCTTCACGCGTTTCCGATCCTAACACATACTTAACACTCTCTCTAACTTTGTGCAGAGAGTCTCCAATAACCTTCAACCCATCTTGTACTATGAGGTTCAGTATATGAGCTGCACATCTAACATGGAATAACTCTCCGGCGCACAACAAATCATCTCTCAAATTTAGTTGGGATTTGACAATATCTTGCATTGAGTCATTACTTGTAGCATTGTCTACAGTGAGAGAAAATACCTTCTTATCAACTCCCCACTCTTTTAGTGTATCAAGGAAGCGGACAGCAATTTTCATACCATCATGTGGTGGAGGTAGAGCACAAAAAACCAGGATCTTGCTGTTCAACTTCCAATTCCGATCAATATAATGTGCTGTCACACACATGTATCCTTCCCGTTTCACAGATGTCCATAAGTCAGTTGTGAAAGACACTCGTCCAGGAAGACTCCCTAATTCCCTCTTCAGTGTGTCTCTCTCAGTTTCATACAACCGATACACATCAGCTCTCGCTGTGTTTCGACAAATAGTCTTGACATCAGCATTCAAATACCTCCATGTGTCTCTCACTTTTTCATACTCCACGTACGAGTAGGGTAGATCAGGTATGTCCTCTACGACCTTCTCCTTCTTCTTTTGCAACTTAGAAAGCACAACCTTCTTCTTTGGTGATTGAGTAGGCACGGCCTTTCTTCTCCCTCCACGAATCACAGACTTCATAGGAACAGTCTTCCTACACGCCTGCGAGGATGAGCCAACGCCACCATCTATAGTGGATTGCAACATCGGTTTCCTCGAGGCAGTTCCAAAAGACGTCTTTCTGCGAGGCTTGGTTTTTTGAGATGACGGAGTGATCTCAACATCAGAATCATCAGTTTCATCTACAAGACTGATAAGCTTTCTTTTGCTTCCTTTGTTTCCTGGAACGCAAGCTACATCGTCTTCAGGGAAACGATCAGCGTTTGTTTCTTCAGCAACAAGCTTAGCTATGAGATTTTGAGTTTCCAAATCAANTCAACATCAGAATCATCAGTTTCATCTACAAGACTGATAAGCTTTCTTTTGCTTCCTTTGTTTCCTGGAACGCAAGCTACATCGTCTTCAGGGAAACGATCAGCGTTTGTTTCTTCAGCAACAAGCTTAGCTATGAGATTTTGAGTTTCCAAATCAACTGTATCTGGTGGGACGTAGTTCGGATCAAACGTGTGATCTTGTGACTCGCCTCTCGATCCCATGCTCTCTCTCTTAGGTTTTGCGGTTCTCTCTTAGGTTTTGCGGTTATGGTGGTTTTTTTTTGCGGTTTCTCTAAAGCTGTTTTAGTTATTACTTATTAGGGCTTTCTAAATTTTGTTAAAATTCTAATTTAAAAATTGTTTACATTGTTTTTTAAATATTAGAAATTTTATGCAAGCACACACATCCAAGTTAATACCCTAAGCTACCGATAACCTATGATAAGCTACGTTCCACTTTGTGTGATTAAGTTACTCACCTTGAATCTCCATTGATGCTGCTTGTTCACGATCACTCCATCATCTCG